TAAATAATTATAAGACACATTTACACTAATTTTTAAATATATGAACCTCATAAGGGCATCGTCCAAACAACCAAAGTTCACTTCCTTGGCTAATGTAGGCAACATTAGATCCAGTTGTTCAATCCACTATTTTTTTTTTTGATTAGTTTTCTCTCTTTCCGTCAAATTGTATTTTGCCTATGATGAAAAGAGATCCACCTGTCTCATATTAAGTTTGATTTACGTAGTGAATGAAACAAATATTCTAGATCGTTACTTAGTCGCCAAAAATGTCAGAAATTTTAATGTTTTTTTGTTAATGATAATTTGTTAACGAAAATCAAACAGTGGGTGGTCGTATAATTAAGAGACTGGCACACCTGTTGTTATATCATAGATATTTTAAAAATACATTTTTTTTACTATGCCACGCCATTTCATCACGCAATTTTGCTGGTATCGGTCTAAATTCTCTATCCAAAACAAAAAAAAACAATTCGTTTAATAATCAATTCGTAATCATTTGTTTTTTCTTATAGGCAACTTGTCAGACGACTTGTTGGGTTATGTTTTCCTCGCCCCACAGGGCAATTCGAAAGTGGAATCGACGTTTTTCATTATAAGAAAATTTATTTACGATAATTTAAAAAATTATGTACATGATACGAATTTTAGAAAGTCTTATGTGGGGCATAGCACTTAAAAGGTTAGAAAACCCCGGTTTATATTTTCCACACAATGTTTTCCCTCATGATTTTCACTCGAAAATTGTGTTTATATGTTTTATATTTAATGTCCAAAAGACTCAATAAATGTTAACAAAAATTAATTATTTATTACAAAGATCCATTTTTGGCTTAGTCGCAATTGATATGTTTTAAAAAAAAACTTCACGAAGGAACGTTAGTTTCGAATGGCCTAATACCGATCCCCTCGAATTTCAATCGATAAAATCGTAAAGTCGACACCTTATCGATATCCAGCCCGCGTTAAAACCTGTCTCACACTTTTATTAAACAAATTACATGGATCCGGAATGTGTGGTATTTTCACAGAGAAATGGGAAGTAAAGAGAACAAACTATACGTTAGATCGTATAGTAATATTCGCAAAACGTAATTGAAACAAAGATTTGTTTATGGAAAACTTTAAATGCGCTTCGGATATATTTAGAACTAAAGGGAAAATGAATAACTTTGAAATAGAACGGTATTAAATCAGTCTGAAACAGCTGTATGCATCGCTGATTTTTTAGGCTTCTGATGGCTAGCAGAAGTAGGTACAGAGGATGAGAAAAAGATGAGATTATAAAGCATGTGAAAACTCTTGCTCTTCTTCTTATTAAACATAATTCAATAAAAAAAAATCACTAATTATTTAAAGTGTTTTTGTCGGTTTTCATTCAACTACCCACGCCTCCATGGCCATATATATGTTGAAATTGAAAATATTTGAGTATGATATATTTACCAGGAATTCGGAAAAATATACAATATTTACAATATTCTTGGCCTTCATAGTAGTAATAATTAATAAATATAAAATAAAAACAAAAAGTTTAGTCCCTGTGGCAGTGTACCAAAGCACCAGCTTTGGGGTATAATTATTAATATGCAAACCTATCCATTTATCGCGTATATTAACTTAGGCAACAACTCTTGTATTAAAATCAGTTCAGTAGTTTTTGAGATATCCACGAATTTCCTATAGCTACCTAAATTTTGTAAATTCAGTTGCCAGATTATTAAATTAACATTTTTCAAACTTCTATTTTCAACATTTCTAAAAACATTTTAACATTATTAAACAGCATATTATCTATTTTATCAAAATACCAATTAAATTATTTTTATAGGTGAATAAATTTCACTTCTCAGTAGCCCAAAATATATATAAGAACCATGCTGTGAAGATAGCTACCGTAACCCCCTGGTGATGGCGAAGGCAGGCTTATACAGGGTGTTGAAAATTTTGTTGTTACGTAACTAAAACGTTCGTTTGTAGTTTTTATAGGCCAGCGGGCAAACGAGAAACCGAAAGTGCCGGCCTTTTAAGGTATACGAATTCCTTTTATTATTATAAAATTATGGAATAGTAATTAAATATATAACATATATAATATTTATGTATCTACCTTTTTAGTAAAAATATAAGATATGGAAAAAGTGCCTGGACGCAATGGCAGGGGAGTAGATCAAGAAAAAAAAGCAATTTACCATAAGTTGAAGCCACTAGTCCACACTGCTCTTCGTGTCTCTTTTTAAACCTATTTTTTATATAAATGCTATTATATTACATTATAACAATTGCACCGTTTTAATTCAAGAATTAAAGTATCAGAGCCTAGTCTTCAGTTAGAATCTGCGTGAATTGATGGGCGTTGACACATCTTTTTAACAATAATAGCCGAGTTCCTTGTGTGTGTGTGTACCTTGATATATTGATTGAACGTAATAAATAATAATGTAAAAATAATCAAGAAATACTTTATTCTTTACACTCTATATAAATAAAAATGAATCTCAACTAGACCGTTGGACCAATTATTTTGTTTTATTCCTTGAATTCTGAGGAAGGAAGAGAAACATTGGAAAATTCAGTTTTATTTAGTACTCAGGTTTTTATTCCGGAAAAGCGAACTGGTATGTACTAAAAAGGTTGGCTAAGTAAAAATCATATTAAGGCGAAACGATATTAGCGAAGGCAGCTAGATAGTAATGAAATAAACATTGGGATATATAAATTATAATAGTTTGTCTAACCAGAGAGATAAGGGCAAATAAAAAAAACAACTTGATAATACGAAACTTTCTTTTACGAACGACTTTTTGTATTATTTTGGATTAAGTTTTGTTATTCAGTGTTACTTGTGATTTTGTTTATGATAATTTAGTGCACTTCTTTTTACCCTTTATATTTCGTGTATTTTTGCATTAGTAGGGTTGTCTGGAAGGGATCGCTTGTCAGCGATAAGGCCGCCCATTGCATCCCTTATAATTTTGATATGTGACGAGTTTTAAATAAATATATGTTACACTTACCACCCTCGACTCTAATGACGCTAATTTGTTACATAGACAAAGAATCAAAGATTATATCAAACATTTCAGTTAATAAACAAAAAAAAAAACTCTATTAAGCATTTTGTACCACAATCGACCTAACATCCTGTATAATAATAGATACGATGACCATAGTAACATTTCATAATACGTAGCGTGCAACGGAACGTAAATTTTCAATTGTTTTTTTAACTTTGACGCGTTTAACTGCTACTGACGTTTTTTATACACTATACAATATAAATATATAATATCTACTTTGGGTTGGATTTATTTAGACTTGCAGCCTGTCCCGGCTTCACATGGCATATTCAATGAGATAATGCATTCTAATGATGACATAATATTTATGATTCTTTGAAGATTTTATGGGCTGGTAGCAAGACCTTCAACTTCACGCTATATATATGATATTAGATATATTAGAGTGGTGTTGGCCTAGTGGCTTCAGCGTGCGACTCTCTTTCCTTAGGTCCTTTCGATGCACCAATGGACTTTGGGAAAACATCGTGAGGGACCTTAGACCCAAAAAGTGTGTCAGGCACAGGCTGACCACCTTCTTGTCTATTAGATTGACAGCATTGCCTACTTTCCTATCAAGTTGTAGCGCCAATGATTTTATACTAAGTTTAGTCAGATCTGTAACAGCATTTCTCTTCCGCAATTATTTGTTTGACTTAAGTATATTTTGACATTTCTATGTTGGGTCTGTTTCATAGATAATATAATGGGACACCAGATAGACTTCTGTCTACTGGCTACCACCGAGAACGTACCACCTACACTAAAATCTATATATAAAAATAGAAAGTTTTAATTTATTTCTAATCTGTAACGTGCCTCTTCCAACAATGTATTATCTACATTTAGTACAACCAAGATCTCAGAAAGAAATTTAAAATTCGAATCACCATTTATGACAAATACCATAAATATTAATTAATGACGAATCCACAGCCTACGCTTAATTATGGATGCACAAATTGTATAATTTTAAAACAAGTCATAATTCACACCGGTTTTCTTGCGGTTACCGCTCTTTTGAAATTAGTTCATGTAGCAACAGAAGCTGCTATAGACAAAAAATTAAAAAAAAATACAATCTCGATTACGTCAAAGTCAATTTGACAACTTGATGAACACGCCTTCAATGTTCGAATTTGAAAACCGTGTGGGTGGTCTGAACGTGTTTTTTTTTCTTTTTTTTTATTGTTTGAGGTAGGGCGATGACTAACAGCCTTTCAATAACTAGGTAGCAGTGTACCGTAATAATTAGTTTTGACACTTCTTAATATCTATTGTGGTTTAAATTATGCAGATTTCTTGATTAAAGGAATAAACTATTAATTAGCCATCCGATTCCTGCTTGCTTACTCTTCAGACACCACAACATTCTTTACAATATTATCTTTTAAGTTAGGCAGAGTATACGAAATTCCACCCGTATCACCTCGACGTCCGTCGTTCCATAACTGTGCGTTTTTAAGGCAGTATTTGGCGTGCACCACCACTATGTGGAACCAGCTGCCCACTCAAGTATTTCCGAACCAATTCGACTTAGGGTCCTTCAAGAAAAGAGCGTACCAATCTTAAAAAGCCGGCAACGCACTCGCGAGCCCTCTGGCATTGAGAGTGTCCATAGGCGGTGGTATAACTTAACACCAGGTGCGCATCCTGCCCGTTCTATAAAATAAGGGTATTTTATAGCTAATTTACATTTCCCAAAAAAATTAAAACATCACATTTTCTTATAAGTATATTTTCTTTCTTGATGTTAAAAGCTTGTGATTTGTGTAAAAAATAAAAAACCTTAATATTTAACAGAGACAAAAAAGTTATGTGTGCATTCAGTGAGTGGACGTAAAAAACATTGTGCCAATCCAATATGCCGCGAACTGTGCCCCGCGCAAAAGACTGTCAAAGTGACATTGACGTTTGTGTGATCGGAATGTAATCAGCATGGTGACATTGATGCCGTGTAGCTACCTCAGCGGCGGGTCCCCGCGATGCAGTTTGGACACAGAGCCCAAGGTCAGAAAAAGATAACTAGCACTTTATCACAGTCGTAGCATTGATAACGCACATTTGAATTTCGTTTTTTTTTAATTTTATATTGCACAAGCACGATGCATGATTTTATTTAAGATTTAAAAATAGATATAGAAAGATCATCTATCTATCTATCTGTCAAGTGCCAACTTGTATTTTTTGATGGAGAAACTAGCGTTTAGGTACCAGGGATGTATAGGTACGTAGTATAATAATCGCTTACACCAAGACGGAATTAAAGACAAACAAACAAAACGGACATAATGTTTATGTATTCCGAGGCTGGGGGTCATGTTACCCATTCATACGTATCTTTAGGGCCCATTAAAAAGTAATCGTGGTCGAGTTACGGACCTACGGAACAGAGAGTCGTTAGCCACATGATACCAGGCTGTCATAACTGCTGTGGTATATGACGCTTATCACCTTATCATATGAATGATATATTTTGGAATGTTGATAGATTTAACAGGTAGACGCTCTATTTAATTATTCGCGCCAAGCCCACCAGACCTTGAAGCAAATAAAGTCCGTTTTTAGGAAAGTACACACTTGACCCTTTGATCTGTATTTTTTTTAAAAAGTGTCCTCTTCTCATATACATTTTATCGATGTCTGCATAGAAAAAAATATAGCAGCAGAAGGGTAAAACAATTCTATGAGGTCATTGGCAATTGGCCTTAATATAAATAAAAGTTCCAATAATGATGAGCTTTAAAATACTACAGCCACAGTGAAAAGGCCCATTTGATAAATCACCATAAAATATATTTGTATTATCATGTACTTTAAAAGAAATGTTTTTTTTTGGCTATATTTAGTGTGGCATAGAATTTTTATTTTTATGTGTTTTTAATTCCATTGTTTTCAGTCCATTTATAATAGCTACCAAATCATAATCACGAGAACGTGTGTGTAATTATGTACACTTCTTTGGCGTAACAAGATAAAATATTTTCAAAAATTTTATCTTTCGCCTTATTCTACGTTTGTAGAAAAAACTACACTAACAATAGTACTCTCATCATTTTTCCCTAACTCGCCAAAAGAAGTGTAACTTCAAATACAGTTTCTTTAAAAGTAATCCATTTTTAAAAATAGAACAAATAATAGCGCCAACATGAACTTCGTAAACAAAATGGCGTACTTAGCGTGGCTCTATAATCACGAATAAACTTTCCTCCGCGTTCCGAGAAATTAACTGACAAAGCGTTCCCAATGACCAATGAAACAATGTCGCTTTAAAAATAAAACGACAAAGCCACCCAAAGATAACACCAATAAAAACAAATTTGTACAGGCGCGATGCGATTTATCGAACCCGATGTCTCGATAGTAATCCTAAATTGTTCACTTACAGTATCGAAATGGTGTAAGAGACAAATGCTATATTGATCTTAATATCAATGCTTTAGAGCTCAATTTTTTATGATAAGGTTATGTTGAACCTTCTCCTGACGTCTGCTGCCCTAGTTGAGTGTTTTATAAACGTCACATTTGCATATCCAATAATAAAATTATTAATAAAAAAATGTATTTAATAATTATTAATATAATAAATAAATAATAATCTTTTTTTTGGTTCTATATTCCGTGGTCAAAAGCCGAACGTCATGAAGACGCGCAGATAGGGTAATTGTAAATTTAAGTAGTATTTATTCTGGGCTCAGTTTTTTAATACTATACGGCCAAGTTCAACGTAAAAAAAAATTGTCGCTTTGTAAATAAATAACTTAATAAGAATTTAAACTATTTGGAATCATGATTTTATTATCAGCATTTAAACTCAAAAACAAAGAGCCCAGTACAAATTACACCAGTCCCAAACAATAAAAAAAGCACATTGCAATAAATCACTAATATTAATTGACATTTCACACCAAATACCTAAAATGACATTAGGGCTGACACCTCTTTTTTGCATATTATTTCTAGTTCAGTATAAACAGCTGGTTCAGATTAACATTTCCACTGTTAACGTAATAAGTAGCGATTAGAGAAACTAAGTTATACTTATTACCTAATGACAGGTGCCTAATCGATAAAAAATGCCTAAAAGATTTTTGCACATAATAGAATCGTTACTTTACGGTATTAACTCACCAGGAATTGTTAACATCCTGTGGTAAGTCTAGAAAAATATAATGAAATTTCATCTTATAAAAGTTATTAAAAAAACTAGTGACATATTAAGACAGTATGTAATTCTTAAAATTGTAACTCTTTTAATTTGATAGCCCTAGTTTTAATATCAATACATCGAGTTATCGATAAACAAACACTAAGGATTTCAATAAATTAGAATATTTATTTCTTGGGCGCGGGAATAAGACGGGATGAGTCCCGGTCATAAATAAAGAGTAAGATAAAACAATAAACGTAAAAAAAACCTTGTCCCAGACAACCTATGTCGCGTTTATATTGCTTGTTGCAAATACTATACTGTAGAATGAATTTTGTGTAGTCTGTAATATCTAGAAAATGTTTAATAATCTGTCTATTTCTTTGTTACTAATAAAATTATAATCATGGCAGGATAAAAACTGGCTAAATTAAACATCCCACAAATATCATCATAATCTTCCGTAACATATAAGAAGTCTTGGCCTATAGACAGTTTTGTTTAATGTTCTGTGGTCCCAACTAAAACAATCAATAATATTTTCAAGATAATTCTTATACATAAATTCCTATAGTTTAAATTTCGAATGCGTTGTTCCCGCGTAAAACGTATAAATTAGCCACCACTATCTCAAGATCGCGGCCTCACACCTTGTGCGGTGATTTACGCTTTCTCACACGCGTATCAAACGCAATGAGTTATGCGATCCTGGTAGATGAATGTGTACTAGGATCGTGTTGATGCGATTATGCAAGCCTTGTAGGATAGATTAATTTATAGACGACCATCTTCTTCTCTATCTATCCTATAACTTACGTTTTAATATAGAATCGAAGGAAACCATAAATTATTTTTAGCTATTACTTAACTTTTCTCCTGTGGTTGTCATGGTAATCCAAGAAAATATTTACGAATCTAAGATGCAACAATTACTTGTCTTTTGGGGTTTTTATTTTAGTTCAATATATGAAAAGAGATCGGTTTAGATTCGCATAGATTTCTCTTGTGTTCGTTTGTAATGCAACAAAGTATTAAATAAATAAATAGACAAAACACGCAATGGTTACACGTTAAAAGTAAGATTAAAAAAATAAGCAACCAGAAGTGACGTATAAAAAATATTAAAATATGTCAACAATGTAAAAAAAGTATCAGGCACACATGAAGCCAGAGGACGTGAAAACATTCCAAATTACCACCTAAAACGTTATCGATTCTCAACACAATCAAAAGTTAACCTTATCTGTGGAGATGTAATGTTGACGTTTCAATACTTTAGTATTTTTATAAGCCTGTATATCAAATGAGACGCAGTGGCGCCCTCCGAGGGCTGTAAAATAAATTCGGCTTGATTTTATTAATGTTGTTACCTTAATCTTGATCGGAGCCAGGCGACATTTAAGAGTTTTATTATTTATAACATGTAGTGTATCTAAAATCTTGGGTTTGTTAGCTTTGGGAAATTTGGGAAGCTGTATTCATATTATTTTAATGGATGCGTCATAAAATGCATGTTTGTAGGTGCTGTTGTTTTTAATTAGACGCTCCCACAGATTATGTAACTGCATGTATGTGGTTGACATAAAATTAAACCAATGAAAAAAATAACCCCACCGTTTTTTTTTGTTTCAGACTAAACGACCAAGATCGGATACAGGCACAGATGTTAGGTGAGTAGTGAGTACATATTATATATAATCCTCCAAGTTGTTCATTTAATAAATATTTATCATACAATATAAAATAGCAACAGGTCATTCATCAACCTCTTGGAAACAAAAATCCGGGTTTAAACCTGGGTCACATCGCACCATATAATTGCTGCGTTACCTTTATTTTGTTTACATTCTTTGAATATCCTTAAATAAAAGAAGTAACTCTATACAAAGATAAACTTTTTGATTTCGTGACAATTATCACATCGCGGGTTAAAGATTTTTCATTTCGCGCGTAATTCACTTTGAAAGTGATTGTCAATATCAATTCGCGCCAAATATGCACTTCAACATTGCCATATATTTCCATAATTCGAAAAAGGAAAACTTATAACATCAATAAGCAATTCGATTTACATGATATTGGGTGAATAAAAACTTATTTATATTCTGTTGTTATGTGTGAAATTTTGTTTATGTCGTAGTTTGGTATCTCTGGTATATTAAGTATCGAAAAAAAATTTACTTTTAGTTAGAAAATTGGCTCTGTTTAAAAGGTGTCTGCTGAGTAATAATGTTGTCGGACCTGCACAAATACAACAATTTAAAATTGTCACAATAACAGAATATTGCACTTTAATAGATGATTAGATCATTACAATGTCTCAATAGAAATGAGCTATGGTGACATAACAGTGTTGCCTAGTTTTATTGTTAGTATTATTTAAATATTAGTACCTATTTTTATCTATTTATCTAATCGTTTAGTACAACATTGCCATAGATAAAAAAGTATTTTATAATTACAATGTTTATACCAAGAATGGACCATAACCTACAATCTTTTCAAAACATTACGTCACTTCCTGAAAAAAAAGCAACGCTTTCCCGCCTTTTTACTTAAGACGCGAATTTTTTTATTTTTTTGAATTATTTAATGACACATTAATTATACACTTTTAATAAACTAATTACTACATAATGAATAAATCTGTAAACTATAAACCTATGTGTGGAACATGCCAATTCTCTACCACAATCTCTAAGCTCTAACTACCATAGACTCGAATTGAAAAATCATTTAAAAATGTTACCTACTTGACTCAACATCATTCCACCAACTCGAGTTTGAATTAAAGTTTACACTAGGCCCTTTAATCCTCCATAATCCCCATATTGTAGGCACACAATTGCCGTGAAGAGCTACTTACTGCATTGGGACCTTTTAACAACAAAAGGCATTGTGTTACGTGTCGATCAATGTAGATTTCACCAATTTTTTGCACGCAATTGTCCTTTTAGATGGCGATGATAGATTTGTATGCGAGCAAGTTATGCGTTAGGATACAGGTTTTGTCGTGAATCATTATGTTAATAAATTCTGCCGAGTAATGTCAGATACATACCTAACTATCATTTGAAACAGTGTTGCCAACTACAGAATGATCCCATAAAATTGTCGAATGAAAACCCCTAAAGTTTTTGTGGTCTTTCAAAAATACATTCAAGTAGTATAAAATTCCGATCTTGGAACTTTTTCTTATTTCAGTTATAGCCACGTTTGGAATGCATATTTGGTTTATTTATTTAGTCGATAGAGATGCATGACTTTGCATCTGCTACCGCATTTACCATGGAGAGTGTTAAGAGGAGTTGTTTTCAGCTGCCCACTGAAGTATTTCCGAACCAATTCGACTTAGGGTCCTTCAAGAGCGTACCAAAGTTTTTGCCTCGCACCAATATGTGGAACCAGCTATAAAACAATTCTTGAATAAAATACCTTAAGAGATACATTTATTTATGTACCTTTTAAAAACAACTAAATTTGGGGGGAAAACCCGCAAGGTGGCATCACCGATTTGGTAAAAAAAGATTTTTAGCTACTGCTAAGAATTGTCAATTATAATATGTCAAATGTCAAAACACACGAACAGCTTTTATCCTGAACAGAGGCGCGGAATGTAAAAAAAGATGAATTATTGTCTGTGGTATTTAACAAGTGACATTCTAATTAGGGCGACGTATGTTTCTTTAATTAGTGGTTAACACAAGCTTTTTAGGAATGCAAAGCTTACTAAAATAGTTCTAATAAATCATATTTTGAATTTCGTTCCGTTACTTTTACGTTTTGAGTTTTGACAAGCGGATTTAACGTATCGTATTGCGATGTTACGTTTTTAGAACGTTTTTATGTTTCCTCTTGTGTTAATAGTAGCAAAAATAATTTGTTGTGGTTATTTGTGTATAAAAAGGTGTTGGAACGTAGGTAGTTATCACAAGTAACAACTGCATTTTTGAAGTTATACTTTTGGCGAGTTAGGGAAAAATGATGAGAGTAAATTATTACGATGCGCGCGCACATCGTCACAAAAAACTGACACCCTGCAGTTATCATAGTAAACATTGAAAAAAAAATCTATTTTTTTAATTATGCAGAAATAATTTTTATTTTGTAATAAATACCCCTTTTTCCTATTGTTAGTGTCGTTTTTTCTACAAACGAAGGAAGTCAAAAGTTAACATTTTAATCTTGTTACGCCAAAGAAGTATAACTTCTAACGCGTACACACGTTTTTTTTTTAAATTAATCAGTCTATCTCTTTCTGTCACATTGTTTATCCTATGGCAAAAAGAGACAGATGAGTGCTTTATTAAAACGGTGCAATTGGACTTATTTTCTATGAATAAGCACTGTTTAGCAAATTAGTTGGCCATCGCAGAAGTCTTTTTGAGATTCTACTATAAAGATATACTACATATATTTATGTGTAGGGTGTAATACAGCTACATTATATCCGAGTGGCATAATTGTTTGTGAATTATGTGTTTTTTTCTTTTTTTTTTTTTTACCAGAGTAGTGTTGGCTTCAGCGTGCGACTCTCACGCCTGAGGTCGTAGGTTCGATACCGGCTGTGCACCATTGGACTTTCTTTCTATGTGCGCATTTAACATTTGCTCGAACGGTGAAGGAAAACATCGTGAGGAAACCGACATGTCTTAGACCCAAAAAGTCGACGGCTTGTGTCAGGCACTAGAGGCTGATCACCTACTTGCCTATTAGATTTAAAAATGATCATGAAACAGATTCAGAAATCTAAGGCCAAGACCTAAAGAGGTTGTAGCGCCACTGATTTTTTTTTACCAGTCTAGACTATTCGGTTCGTGCAATGGCCACAGGTAGCTAAGCACCCGTTTGTTATAGTGGTGATCTTTAGTTGGTTGAGAATGCACTTATTGGTTCTTTTTGCAGTCCATGAAATGACTGTAACAGTACTGCAGTTATATACAGGTATATATTAGCGGACCCGACAGACGTTGTCTTGCCTAATATTTCAAGCGATTAGGATATTAAACAAAGTATGAATGTACCGACTGCAGCGCCATATGCCGGGCTGATTTGTGAATCTAAACCATCCAGAGACCCAAACGCATACAAAAAAAATCATTCAAATCGGTCCAGCCGTTTAAGAGGAGTTCAGTGACATACACAAGTATATAATTATATATATATAAAGATATATTATTCCTTAAGCGTTTTACTGAACTGATAAATACGGCAGTTTAAGTATCAAATCTACTTAAAATTATGGGTGTCTTTTTAGAAAAATCACGTAAAAGTCAATAACACTAGTTCGTCATTTTATGTGTCTACAAAAACATACCCACACCCGTTTGACACGTGGAGGCCAAATGGTTTTTCTCTAATTTTAGGGTTCTTTATCTAGAAATATCTAATAGGTATTTAAAAATGAGATTTCTGTCATCTTTTCTAATGAGCTGGAGATCAGCCTTCTGTGCCTGACACACGGTCTAATGCATGTTCCTTACAATGTTTTCCTTCACCGTTCGAGCGAATGTTAATCACATAGGCAGATCGTATCCATTGGTGCACAGCCGGGGATCGAACCTACGACCTCAAGAATGTGAGTCGTTATAGCCACGAGTCTAACACTGCTCTTCTTCACTCTTCCTCACTGCTGTTTCCTCACGATTATCTGTTTTGATATTCTAATAGGCAAGTAGGTGATCAGCCTTCTGTGCCTGATACGGTCGACATTTTGGTTTAAGGCCTAGGTTCCTTCTTCTTACAGCGAATTTTAAGTGCGCACATAGAAAGTCCATTGCACAGTCATGGCTTGAACTTACGACCAGGGATAAGAGTCGTTCTGCTCAGCCAACTTTTTACAACAAACTAGCAGCAGAGAAGAAGTACTCAAATCATAAGCTCGTTCCACTGGAATAACTGAAGTTTCTGATAGAATCGTTATTTTATTCTTATTAAAAGCCTATATTCCAGGACTTTAATAAGGATAACATTAAATAAAATAAAAAATCAGTGGCACTTACAACCTTTTTAGGTTTAGGCCTCAGATTTCTGTATCTGTTACATGATTGTCAATCTAATAGGCAAGTAGGTGATCAGCCTCCCGTGTCTGAGACACGCCGTCGACTAAGGATTACATTCTGGACCTATCTGGTCGCCAAACTCCAAAAAAGTACATTGTTTCTTTCCATTTATCGTCATCGTTTCTTGAAGTAGGGCGAATGGAATAATGAAATATATATGGTGGAGTTAAGTAGTTTATGTATCAATTTTGAAAGATCGATAGACGATTTAAATAACTTCGCATTCATTGAATTCATTTTATGACGAAAATGTATATAGAACATGATGAAATTATGATAAAATTTACACGATATATTTTATCGCAAGCCAATAATCCATTTCAGAAAAAAAAATCTATAAAATTATTAATTTAATGTTTTACATAACTAATTGTTATTACGGGCCGGCGCGCCTCAATGCTCCAGCACTGAGCCCCGCAGTCTACCTCGAGACACTGACACAGCAATTCGTGCTGGTTTACCTAGTGCCATGTAATTATATTTAATAGTAGACGACCTCCGGCGAGTGTAGGCCTTCAAACTCTTCCATTTGTCTGTCATCTTTATAGAAGAATCTCAATAAGATGTTCACATTTTATTCTTATTACCGATTTTAATTCCGTTCATAG